CTGAAAACCTGCTGGAGGGTCAGTTATGGGTCAGTTTTAACTCAATGGCACACAACAAGAAGCCATGTTAAACAATGGAATACTACGCAGCATGCAGATGCAATCATTCTGTAAATTACTATCTAACTTGGGAGGGCATTATGCTGCGTGAACTAATTTGGTCCCACAAGGACAAATACTGTATAAGACCATTATTTTAGCATATGAGAATCCTGGGGTGGGGGTAGAAAATAAAATGGTGAGGATGGATGGGGGCTAGGGTGTTAATCACAGGGATGCATAATTCGATGGGGCGTGGAGTGAAGAAAATGGGAAGGATCTTTTGTGAAAAACAATGTATTCAAACTTTGTAAATAAATCAGAATAAAGTAAAAAAGATACAACCTGCCTAAAAAAAAAATACCAGAAAAAAAAACAACCCATGTTAATTATTGTTTGCCCTCTCATTTTGCTTTCTAGGCATGGATTTAGATAAAGCATTTTTAACTGCATCATGATATCCCTTCTCTTGGACACAGGAGGACTGATTTAAGCATCTCCTTATATTGTGTCACTATGGGTTGTACTCAATTTGACAGCACTGGGTTTGGCTTCTGGATTTTACACTGGCCATTAAGGTGGTTCTCAGTTACAGCTGTGCTGTGACAAACAAGCTTTACACTAGCATTTCAAGCTGAAGATACTACCTGAAAATTTTTTCCTTGTTTCATTCTCATAAGAAAGTCTAAGGGCAACAGAAATTATGTAACTTCTGCTTGTGTTTCCATCCTTTGTTCTCCCAAACATGAGGGTTGATGCAGAATGGCAAGGTACAATAATTCTAAAATGTCTTGTTATGTATTTAAAACCTAAAAAAAAAAATATATATATATATTAGCAACTGATGATTAAATTTTTTGGACGCTAAAATCCAGTGCCAAAGTTTGCAGGAGTTTGAATAATTTCTTAGTATGCTTCAAAATGGTAAAACAATTCCACTGGATTCTTACCAGCCTACCATTCTAGAAAGCCTGCTAGAGAAATGAGCAACACAGTGTTATTTCTGAAGCAACCAAGAAAAAGATACTGCTTCACTTCTAAGATTCTCTTCTCTGCTCTGAGGACAGCCTTGGAGCCTGGTATGTGCCTTTTATATAAAAATTCAGTTCGTTATCCTCTGAGTGCTATCTTTAAGAAAAACGCTGTCACTCCTTTCTCTGGAAAATATCCTCTGTCTAATCTACAATCATCTTCTCCACTACCATGTCATCTGATAACAACTTTGTAACAGCAAAAAAAGCCAAGGACCATTCTCCATTTTAAAGATGAGAAAATAGGCTCAAAATTGTCTTGCCTAAAGTGATCTAGCTAATGATGGAATAAAATTACAAACTTATATGTCTTCTGGTTTGATGCTCTTCCCAGAAGCCCAGACTATATTCAGCTGCTGAAAATCTCAGATTTTCAAGAAGAGGGAGATTTGCACTATCACTTTAAAGGGCAGCATAGAGTTCTTTCCATCTGGGCACAGGCAACCACAGGAGCAAGGAAAGAGACTGTGATACTCTGCGATGTCTGAGGTTTACTGTTCAAAATGGCTTTGCTAGCCACTGGTTTTGACTTTGCCACATGGCTAAGTGGGATCATGAAAATAAAATCTGTCTCACCATTCATTCCCTTATGTTTAAATTTGGTTCAATAGCAGAAATTTGGGACTCTCAATACCAACAAGGAAGAGGAAGCAGGAAGTGTAGCATGTATCCTTTGTGGCCAGAGGTTCCAGGCAAACTTCAGTAGACTACCCTGTGCGGAGCTACTGGAGGTCAGACTCAGCCATGTCTATGCTGCCTACACTCATTTTATATTCAAGAGAGCAGTATCAGCCTCAACAGAGAACAAGAGACCAACACGAGGCAGGGACTAATTTAGGACTGCTGCCCCACAGAGCCAGAGCCAGACCCAGGGGCTTCACCCAAGCTTGCTAGAGAACTGAGGGAGGACGCCATAATTGTAACTGGCAGGACTAAGAGAATTTTTTAACACTGATCTAAATCATAAGGCTGAAGGTAAAGGGGTCTAGACTGAAGGACTGTATCTTGCTGCCAACCTAAATCAGTCTGTTAATTTCTCTAATAAACACCATAATCCTGAGTAGGATTCCAAGAGTTCTTATGGTCACTGCAATGAATTATATACCTAGTAGAGCAGGCAGCTTGATTTTGGTTCTAGCAGAAGTAGGTACAGGAGCATGGGAGAAGATACTTGACCTTACAAGAATAGTTTTGTATTGTGGATGTTACCCTTTGTGGTGTTACTAGGGGTCAGACTCGGTCATCCCTATGCTGCCTACCCTCATTTTATATTCATGAACATTCAGATGCAGGATCACATAGCAAAAACAGTATTAAGAGTGGGGCAAGGCAAGAACACTTGAGTTCACATATTTGGTGCACATAATCTTCACGAGAACATCATAAATATGAGAAAGCGGAGGCGGACGGATTAAGTAACAAGCTAGCCAATGTTCTTTTGCAAAATCTGAGTCAGCTTCATCATTCCCTCATTTCAACAGTGTATCTGGGATGGCATATCCATAGACTTAACCTCTAAGAGTGTGCCATCAATCTTCATGGGAGGTCTTTGATCTTCAAGTTGCCTAGGAAATGAGTTCCTTCTTTATGATGAGGCTATTAGGTCTCATTAGGAGCAAAGTGCAGTAAGGTTGGAAGAGAATTCTCTAAATCCAAGCCCGAGTTGCTGCCTTATGAGGCCCTTTTACATTTCCAGGAGACTTCATGAGCAAAAGGTTCTCTACTGAGAGTAGATCAAAACCTTTCTGGCCACAGTACCATGTCCTTCGGTACTCGAACACAGTAAATACACTAAGTGTTCCTTACCCTGTTTGTAGGAATCAACTTCTGCCAAGTAGCATCTATTCCAAGTGCAAGTCAATAAGCAATATAATCCAGTTAACATCCCAATATCTCATTTAATTGATTCAGAGTAAAGGAGAAGTATAAAAATAGATCCGTACCATGTGATAGGTTAAGGAAGAATGCAGGGACTTGACTCAGGCAGCGTTAGGACATCTGGCTTAGCTATGACATCAAATAGGAAATGTATCAAGTCATGAGCATCAATGACAAGAACTCTCAAAGTTGCCCTCCAGGACCGCTGTGAAGCTGCAGCTAAGCAGGGCCTCGTGAGCTAAGCGGGGGTCCCTGTTGACTAATGCTGCATGTACATGGAATTCTAGTCAGACAAAGTGGAAGAGCCCCATTAAGCAGAGTATCATGAGATGCACCTTCCAAAATATTGCTTAACTGTCGTCTGCTGGAAAGCTAGCCTATCACTATAGTCCAAGTTGACAGTGGAAAGGTTTTAGTCAGACAGCCAGTGAAAATGGGCTGCAGGGCCTGGCCTGAAGATCAGTCTGTGCACACAGCTGCACCAGGGCCACACTTCCCCATGTGGTCAGGCTCAAAGGCTGTGGCATCTTTTATGAAGCCCAAAGCAAGCACCACCTGCTCCACAGCTTTGCTTTACTTAGATGGCAATTATTAAGATTTATGTACATTTCTCTAGGTAACAATTCAGTTATCTGCAATGGTAGGATTCATTCCTCCCACTTGAGTGAGACCTAGAGTTGGCTCTTAGCCAACGCAACATCACGAAGCATACAGAGTGGAAATTAGGAAACTTGGATCCTACTCCTCCGTCGGACTCCCATCATCTGCAGCAAGAAGGGTAAGTCATTTTCCCTCTCTGGACTCAGATTCCTTCTCTGGAAAATGATGACATTCATAATGGTCCTTCAGCCTCAAACTTCAGTCTTCTAGGAATTCTATGAGATTAGCCAGAGAAACCCCTTTGCTGGAAATTTTAAAGCATAGAGTTGCAAAAATTGTTCAGAGAAGCTTTTAAGTTCAAAATGAAAGTAAAGCATGGAGGGAAAAAAAATTAAAGACAGGAGAGTCCCTTCAATTTGAAACTCACTTTGGTCTTCAGAATAGCAAAGCAATGAGTTCAGACAGTTTAGGAAGGTTAGAAAAGTGCAAATTGCAAAACAGGAAATCCGTTCTTGGCTGGCTGTCAAAAAAGCCATGAGCTGGTGAAAATTTAAGTCCTTTTTAATTTTTTAAAATTAATTAAACCCCAAATTAGTGAATTATTGAGGTACTTACTATCAAAATACCAAAATTACTGCAGCCTCATCTTCAGGAGCCTTAATGGCTAGATGTCTTTAGCTGGTTCCAGGTTAGCAGCATTATCCCTGGAGGAAGTTATTATACCCTATGCAGCTCATCACCATTACTCTCTCCTATGGACAGTGGGCCCCCATGGTAATTAATGTATTATACATATTATCCCACGCACACCTTATCTCTCCAAGCAGCATATCAGCTCCTGAACTTGCAAAGACTCTAATTTGCACACCTTTGATTCCTCAGTGCACTCAAGGTGCTCAAATGTTTACTGAATGATTATGAGAAGTACTTACCAGTCCATTCAGGCATGTTAACAACATGGTCAGGTTTATACATCCAACCTGAGTCTAGACTACAAAACCACTTTTTCAAAAAAGGAATTATTTAGAGACAGAAATGTTTATAAAAATGATCTTTACAAATATTAAGACCAGATTTCCATGGAGGACAGAAAAATAATTTATTCCAAAAGATGGCAGAATTAAGAAATTAATTTATTCTAAAAAATACAGTTTGGTGCAATTGTATCAAATCAAGACACATTGTCCCTCTGAATGAGGTCTCCTACTAACTGCCCCAATGGAGCAGTTTCTCCCTTGAAGGCACTTCTGAGCAGGTCTTAAAACACTTGGCTGGCTCTCTCATCATGGACAGGAAAGTGTGATCTTCAAAGTCACAGATCTCAAGGAGAGGGTAAGGTATTGCTCCAAAGAACAGTATCTCCTGTATCAGAGGAGTGCATAAGCATTTTGTGTAATCGGCACAGAATAGGTCAGGTAGGAACAAAATTCATCAAAGTGTAAGAAAGATGACAGGAAAAATACTGCATTTTAGAATAAGGCATTCAAATGTGATGTGAATGTTTAAGGCAGCTAATGCCTAACTAGGCGAGTCGAGACTGGCGGTCTGGGTCTGGAGGTGATTTTGCCTGTAGAGGAATTCTCTTCGTGACCTGCAAAACAAAACCATTCTAGTAACTGGTCCTCATACTTTCCTCAGGAGAGGGAGAAGTTAACATCTCAAAAGTTCATCAGGCCAAGAATTTTAAAGGTTAAATATTCAAGTGAAAGGGGGTTAAATAGACATGTACCTTTGGGTAAGATTTTGCTGGTATGTGTCAAGAAAATCAACCAGCAAGGACATTGTTCAACTGACGACCACCATAAATACTTGGTTGATGACATTATATAAAGTAGGATAGCTACTAGAATCTAATGCCTTTACTTCCGTTTCAAGAATCTGTCATTTCCCCTTTTTTGGGGAAGTAAGATTATTGCAGATATCACAAGCTTTTGTCTAGTGTCAGATTTCTAAAAGGCAGACAGTTTGTCTTATTCCTGCTACTCATGGATACTCCCATTGCACCCTATTCTAGTTACCACAAACATTCCTAGAAGCTTTTAGCTGCAACACCACCTTTCTAAGTTAGTAAATATTTAAAACAGGCACCTTTTACACATCAAATTGCTAACAGGCGTTCCCTCGGAAAATAAAGGTGAGGCATGAAAATTCACTTCATGAAACTCTACTGTATAAAGTTATTTTATAAACTTCTATACACAACTCTCAGATAATCTGCTCTGCATACAGGTTGAAAAGGTATGGAGATAAGACACATCCCTGGCGTACACCCTTCCCAATTTTGAACCATTCATTGTTGCCCTGCTCTGTTCTGACGACTGTCTCTTGGTCCAAATATAGGTTTCGCATTAGCATGATTAAATGTTCTGGGATTCCCATTCTTCTCAGAGTCAGCCAGTTTGTTCTGATCCACGCAGTCAAATGCCTTTGCATAATCAATGAAACACAGATAGACATTCTTCTGGTGTTCTCTGCTTTCAGCTAAGATCCATCTAACATCGGCTACAATATCCCTAGTAACACAACCCCTTCTAAATCCAGTCTGGACTTCTGGCAGTTCTCTGTTGATGTTCCAGTCATTTTTGGATAATCTTCAGTAGAATCTTGCTTGCATGTGAAATCAATGCTATTGTTCTGTAGTTTCCACACTCAGCAGCCAGGAAATCAAAAAACATATTGCGATGGGAAAGTCTGCTGTTAGGGACCTCTCTAAAGTACTCAAGAGCAACGGTGTCTCTTTGGAGACGAAGGTGCGCCTAATACAGGCCATGGTCTTTGCAATCACTTGTTATGCATCAGAGAGCTGGACAATGACTAGGGATGCAGAAGGAGAATTGACGCCTTTGAGCTGTGGTGCTGGAGAAGAGTATTGAATGTACCATGGACTGCCAAGAAAACAAACAGATCCATCCTAGAGAGGGTTAAACCAGGCTGCTCCTTGGAGGCAAGGATTCTGGGGCTTCGTATGACATACTTTGGACATGTTGCAAGGAGAGACAGGTCTTTGGAGAGGGACATCATGCTGGGTAGAGTAGAGGGACAGCACAAGAGGGGAAGACCCTCTATGAGGTGGATTGATTCAGTGACTGGTGTAATCGGGATGGGTGTGTCAGAGGCAATGCGATTGGCACAGGATAGAGCAGGGTTTAGGGCTGCTGTACATAGGGTCGCTATGAGTCGCAAACGACTCGACGGCACATAACAACAACAACAATACACAACTACATATGCGACTTCTAAAATCTGAGGGAAGATAAGCAATTTCTATACATGGTTTAAGAGCTGCTCTGCGGGAGAAGGATGGGCAATTCCTTCCATGCAACTGTCGTTGTTGTTAGGTGCCATCGTATTGCCTCTCAATACCCATTGAAGGGTCAGTTATGGGTCCGTTCTGACTCGATGATACACAAGCCACCACCACCACCCAAGGGTTACAGCTGGTTATGTTACACAATTTATCAAAAGTGTGAAGACGGTGGAGAGTTAAGGTAGGCAGGAAAGAGAAGAGAAAGATTTAAAGTTGGACAAAATATTATTGGAGGTAGGTAGGTATAGCAGTCAACAGAGATCCGATAGGCCGTTTAGTTTTTTCAAATCAATAAGGACCTATGAGGAGAGTCTACAGTTCAATGTGCTAAAATTGAAGAGATCCCAGGCCTAGGGTCTAGAATGGCCCAAAAGGACATGAGTCAGCTAATAAGTCACATTAATGCAAACTCCAGGGCGGCACACCCTAGACTGTGAGACACCCACTAAGGCAGACACTGCAAACAAATTCAATTCAAACATAATCAGAGGACCATTCCTACAATGTACTAAGAAAATGACTACATCAGGCCAGGGAGGGGCAATTACCAGAGCCACTGCTTTCTCGTCAGGTGAAAGCCTCAACAAACCTTTTACTCTTAACTATCATTTGGTCTCCTTCCTCAGGCAGGGAGAAAAGTCCCTCTGCACAAACTTCAGTTCCCTGGCAAAGTATGAATTTCACTTCAGAATACGAAAGTGTGAGTGCAGATGCTATTTTTGTTAATATTCTATTAAGAACATCCTCACCTTGTAAGCTTTTCCAAATTTTTTTTTAATTTTATTATTGTGTGTGTGTACCGTCAAATCGGATACAACTGGTACAGGAGGTGACGTCCCCACCTTCTCTAGCAGAGTATCTGGTGGACTTGAACCATGTACCTCTGGGATTGCAGTGCAGCTTCCTGCCAATAGGCCACCAGAGCTCCCTCTGTAGGCCTTTTTTTTTTAAAAAAAAAATACAAGTTACAAAAGAAAAAACGACCTTCACTTTTGAAACACCACCTACAAGATGGGATCATTTTCAACCAAGCTTAATGATTTCAGTTCCAAATAAATGTGATGAGCATCCAGTTAAATGATAAGGTCTTGTGGTCTGATTTTTTTTTTAGTGAAATACTGCAGAAAATATCATAGGTATAGCTGATATCAAATTGCTATTTCAGGGTTTAGGTTGGAGGGCTCAACCAAAGAGTTCATGTCTTCATCCTAGCAAATAAGGAAATCATTAAGGTGGAGAGACAACTGATAATGAAAATGGCATAAAAATATTAAAACCAGCACCAGGAAACCTGTCCAGGGAAACTGAGTGAATAGATTTCTTAAAGTATATATAAATTAGGTTTCCTTTTTACCTTTTGCAGTATGGTGGATCATTTCCACATGACCTTCTCACCAATGTCTTTTAACTTCCATCAAATGACTGACTATGTGAGAACATGCAAAAGCAGTTCTTGTGGCTCACCAAGTGAATGGACAGCTTGCTAATGATGCAAACAATGTATATGGCACCTGTGCAAATAAGGTGTATAGAACCCTGCAAAAGTGGCTGGTCAGTTTTGCCATCCCAGTAGGCTTAAACTGGGCCATCCCAGAAGTGGACAGGAGTACCTCACTGCCACCAACAAAGAGCAACAACTGGAATGCATGCTTTGGGCCCTGGCTCCCTGCACTAAGAATCTCCTAGATCAAGGCTTCAGAGACAAAGTGTGAGTGCACTCATACATATGAGCTAAGATAACAAGGCTACAAGTGAGGCCAAGAAACAGCAGCAGCAGAACCAGGAGGTTAGCAGAAGACAGAAGAGTGTCTTCTAAAAAGAGGCTTGCTGGCAGAATGAGGTGTCACAAGGCAATTTATAGATGGAGCTAGACTTGCTCAGTTGAGTTAAAGGGCTTTGTAACAACATTTGTCCCATCAGGGTAAAAGTGAGGCAGTTCCAAAGAGGTCAGAGAGTCAGGAAGAAGCATGCCTATGGGAATGAAAAAGAAACGGTCCTGACCAAACACCTGTATCCTGAATCATTCCTGACTCTGAATTGTAATTTGTCATTTCCCTAATAAACCCCGTAATTGTGTGAACATGATCTGCAGCCAGTGCATCCAATTACTACTGAATCCAGCAGAAAGAAACAGTGTGTCATGGGAGGGATGGCTGATGTCAGAATTGGTAAAAAGGGTTGGAGAGAGGAGGTCGGATGCCTCGATCACGCCAAAGATACACCAGTATCTTTTTAACTTCAGATAAATGTACAAAAAATTCCTTCCTTACGATTTATAAGGTTTACATAACATATAGAATTAAAAGATGTAGTTAAGTACACACAATCCAAAAAGCCAAACCACAGCTACTCTGGTTAAATTGATTCTCACCTACGACAACCCCCTGTGTTACAGAATGAACTGTTGTACAAACTTTTCTTGGCTATAACATTTATGGAAGCAGAACACCAGGCCTTTCTTCCACTGATGAGTTCAAACTGCTAAACTTTGGGTTAGCAGATAAGCATAAACTGTGCCATCAAAGAATCTTTTATACAAACAGTATGTGCATTTAGCAATTTAAGTGAAGGCATCCCAAGAATGGTAAAATTGGGAAGTTACTGGCTTTGAGGGCTAGAAGAAACTGGGGGGTGGGGGGGGAAGGATAAGAAGTACAAAGAATTCCAAGTGAGACATTGAAAGAGCAAACCTCAGAAATAGATAATTAGCAGAGGTAAGAAAGCATAGTAGTCAGTGAATATTCCTTGTGCTTTCTTACTTCTTAATATTCATTAATTTAACAAGCAGATTAATGAATATAGTAGAGGAATAAGAGGCAGGACAAGTAACAAAGGAGTAGGAAAACAGCTAGGATGATAGTTCATAGAGGAAAGTACTAAGACACCACAAGGTCTATAGAACATGGGCAGGGAGCAGACAGGCATGGCCTTGGCCATTATGTTAGAAAGCTGGACACAACCTACAACCAGAAGATAAAATAGATGAATGGGACCTTCTTAGAATCAAATCCCCATGCACATCCAAAAACTTCTCCAACAGGGTAAAAAGGGAAGCCACCAACTGGGAAAAAAGTTATTTGGTAATAACATATCAGATAAGGGACTTATATCCAGAATTTATGAAATACTTGAGCACCACAACAAGATAAAGGTAAATAACCCAATTGAAAAATGGGCACAGGATATGAACAGACACTTCACTGAAGAAGACATTCAGATGGCTAACAAACACATGAAGAAATGTTCAAAATCCCTAGCTCTAAGAGAAATGCAGATCAAAACAA